TCTCCAGTTTACCTATCAGAATGTCATGTGGGACTATGTCAAAAGCCTGGCTGAAGTCCAGGTATATTATGTCTGCCACATTTCCCCCATCCACCAAATCAGTTATCCTGTCAGAGAAGGAAATCAAGCTGATTTGGCATGATTTGTTCTTAGTAGATCCATGCTGGCTAGTGATCACCCCATCATCCTCCAGGTATTTGCAAATTTAATGATATATATGTTGCTCTAGTAGCTTCCCAAGTATTGAGGTCAGTCTGACTGGTCTGTACTTCCCCAGCCCCTCCTATTCCCTTTTTAAAAATGGGCACCATGTTAGCCCTTCTCCAGTATTCCTTTGACCTCACCTGGACATAAGCACGGCCAGACTGGGTCAGACCAAAGGTCCATCTAGCCCAGGATCCTGTCTTCCGACAGTGGCCAATGCCAGGTGCTTCAGATGGAATGAACAGAACAGGGAATCAAGTGATCCATTCCCAGCTTCTGGCAAACAGAGGATAGGGACACCGTCCCTGCCCAGGCTGGCTAATAGCCATTGACAGACCTATCCTCCATGAATTTATCAAGTTCTTTTTTGAACCCTGTTTTAGTCTTGGCCTTCACAATATCCTCTGGCAAAGAGTTCCACAGGTTGACCATGTGTTGTGTGGAAAAAAAACACTTCCTTTTGTTTATTTTAAACCTGCTGCCTATTCATTTCATTTGGTGACCCCTACTTCTTGTGTTTATGGGAAGGAGTAAGTAATGCTGCTTTATTTACTTTCTCTACACCAGTCATGATTTATAGACCTCTGTCCTATCCCCCCGCCAATCGTCTCTTTTCGAAGCTGAAAAGTCCCAATCTTATTAATCTTTCCTCACATGGCAGCTGTTCCATACCCCTAATAATTTTTGTTGCCCTCTTCTGAACCTTTTCCAATTCCAATATATCTTTTTTGAGTTGGGGCAACCACATCTGCACACAGTATTCAAGATGTGGGTGTACCCTGGATTTATATAGAGTTAATATGCAGTGGTCCCTCTAATTTTTTCCACCCATGTGCGGAATGAATTTTATGTGCACCAATCTGGAAGTGATGTGTGACACAATGCATTGGGGAGGGCGAGGGGGCTCAGGGCTGGGGCAGAGGGTTGGGGTACAGGGGTGTGAGTGCTCCAGCGGGGGGGGGGGCTCTGGGGTGGGGCCAGAGATGAGGGGCTCAGGGATGGGGCAGAGGGTTGTGTTACCAGATTTGCCCGTTACTTTGGGGTATGCTTCTTTATTCGGGTTACTCTTCTGGGCAGCGGGGTTCTGTAATTCTATCAGTGTACTGCTTGTGTCACGTGTGTTCTCATACGGAGCTCTACTTCTCCCTTCTGCAAGTTCCCTCCCAATGGGGCTATCCTGCAGGATCTAGGTTCCCCAGGGCTGGGTTCTTCCAGCCCCACAATCAGACGAACACACACACGCATTAACCGAGCACGTCTGAGAGGACCAGGTTAATCGGCACTCCCAAGCTGACCCCCCACCCCTTATATGCCCCTGGACTCAGCAGGCTGGCTCGAGCACTTCCAAGCTGCCCCCTTTGTATGCCCCAGGTTCAGCACGTCCCTAGCTCCACTTTCATGTTACAGTTGTTCTGCTAGTAACCCACCTGATGAGCCAACCCTACAAGATTTTTGCGCACTGCAGGGATCTTTGCTTAGGTACGAGGAGTGTTGCTGCAGAGCGAATGGGGAAGCCAAAAAACACCCGGGGGGGGGGGAGGAGAAGTAAGGGGGAGGGATAGTGCAGTGGTTTGAGCATTGGCCTGCTAAACCCAGGGTTGTGAGTTCAATCCTTGAGGGGGCCACTTAGGGAGCTGGGGCAAAATCAGTACTTGGTCCTGCTAGTGAAGGCAGGGGGCTGGACTCGATGACCTTTCGGGGTCCCTTCCAGTTCTAGGAGATAGGTATATCTCCATATATTTAACCACACGAGGGGAGCCAAACAAACCATATTAAATCTAACTTAAATTTGATTACAAAAGTCAGGCTTAGAAAACTATAACTGATCCCACAAGTCAGGGTCAGAAGGCTACACCGAGACAGAGAGAGCTGGGTTCTCACCGCTCCGTGAAGCTGGAATCGATCAGGGTTCCCAGAGGGTGGTGGTAGCTGAGGGTCCGGAGTGCTGGAGACAGTCCTCAAGCCCCCAATACGATCAGTCAGGAGAAGATGAAGTCCCAATGGAACTGATGCAGATTTTGGATCCAGGCATCCGAAAACTTACTTGAGCGTGGGTAGGGGTTTTTGTAGGGAAAAAACAGTGGTTCAAGGGAGAACACTAGATTTGTTTATGGGTAAACTGATGGCTGAAGGGAGAACACCAAGGTTGTTTAGTTCAGGCTAGACGATGGGAACTGATCATTCCTGGCTATGGGCGGTGTTCCTTGGAGGGAGCTCACAATGCAATTAGGTAGCTTGAGTATTTTGGATCCCAATAAAGGGTTTATTATTAGAATTGGTCTGATAACTACTGAGCTGGGTGTGTGCAGGCATGGGTTCATTCACATCTGGAGCAGAGATCCCCCATGATGCTGTGCTTCCCTGCTTTTCTGGTCCCAGAGTTCTGTGCGGTTCTTGCCTTGGAATCTCTGTTCTCCATTCTGTATGCTAATAGAGATGCCTCCCTGACCCATCTTTGATGCAAACGAGGTTAGGGGAGTTTGCTTAATCCTGTCACCCTATCCCAGGGGTTTAGGTGTCTCCCACTGCCTTCTCATTGCTTTTTGTAAGACTTTTTTCTTCTGGTTGGCTTTGGTTTAAGCAGGGGGCTGGGGAGCGGGAGGTCTTTCGTGAGTCAGACAGGTTGGATACTGCACCCTGGTTCCCCAAGAACACAGAGCTGATAGGTAACGGTTGGGTGCAGGGAATGAGGGGCTCTGGCTGGGGGTGCGGGCTCTGGGATGGGATTGAGGATGAGGGGTTTGGGGTGCAGGAGGGTGCTCTGGGGCTCTGGTGGGACTCCTCTCTTCTTCCACCTCCCCCCCCCCCCCACGCTCTCTCTCCCCACAGCAGCACCTGGGCTGTGGGAGAGAGGTGCCTCTCCCTGCTGTGGGAGCTCTGGGGCTGCAGGATAGGCGTCCCTGCCCCAGCAGGTCCGGGCTGTGGGAGGGCCGTGCATGGGGCCACGCCGTGCTGCCCTGATTGTGACTAGGTCTGGGCCACTCCAGGGTCAGGCCAGGCGGCGCTGCCCCACCTGTGTCTGGGGCTGGGCTGCTCCGGGGTCGGACCATGCCACACTGCCCCGGTCACGTCTGGGGCTGGACTACTCCGGGGTCGGACCATGCCACAGTGCCCCGGCCACATCTGGGGCTGGGCTACTCCGGGGTCGGGCCGCACCACACCGCCACTGCAGGTCCCTGGCGGGTTCCCTGAGCGCATGCATGGCACTAAATAGGCTGCTGCGTGGCCGCACAGCTTATAGGGAACTTAAGGGGTGTGTGTGTGTGTGTGTGTGTGTGTATATACATACACACACACACACACACACAC